GACATAAAAGTTTATGATTGATTTATTACTTAAATATTGATTAACGTACTTATTTCTTATTAGTAAAACCTCATTTTCTAAGAAAGAGATTTTATTGTTTACTTGGCATCACTTACTAAGGATGAGATTTTATCACTCATTCATCACAATATATTTTAGAATAAATATTTAGGTACGCTGATTGGATTTTAATATTATTTCGGTACACTTTGTGTTCTTTATTGTGTATTGGTATATACATTTCGGTATATTAATATATTATTGTGAAACCCCGTCCTGAATTTGTTGTATTTTCATATTGTTGGACTTATGAAATTACCATTGTACCATTGAGTTGACTTTTGTTGACCATCTTGTCGAAACGCGTAGTCTTAATTTAATTAATTTATTCGTATCGTACTCATCGTCACGAACACGTAGGCGCGAATAGATTTGATATTGGATGTATAACGAAGATTCTATGTTCGAACCGTCGAATGTTTTCAGATATTTGTGTTTCGTTTTATACATTCTTAAATTGCGAACCAAGAGGACCCAGTTAGGATTCTTGTCCCCTTAGCCTTACCCAATCCAGATCCCCCCTACCTTTTCAGATTTTCTTATTTTCTTTAAAACACACACACTCTCTCTCACAACTCTCTCATCTCTCTCCCTCTCTACACTCTCGACACTCTCTCAAACCACCCTCTCCGAGGGCTTTTCACACAAGCAAACAACACCACAACGATAACAACATCCCCACCATCACACTGGTGAACTCAGAATCGAAAGAGAACCCCCCAAACCCTTCCAAACTCACTGCACAGTGCATTCACTGTTCATAGATTTTTTCGACAAGTTTCCACATTCTCCGGTAAAGGTAAGCCTCAAACTCATCTAAAAGTTGTAGATCGTGTCCTTGTGTATGTTTGGAAATAGTTTTGGTGATGTTTGGATGTAGGAACCTCACGGGGAAAGCTTCCCTAATTTTCCAATTAGCACCATCACTTTCGAGGTGTTTTCTGGCCAAACCACAATGCGTTAGCCATCTTACAATGCACCATTATCTTCATCTTGTTGAGAACTATGATTTTGTTTTTGAATCACTTGATTTGATTGAGTATTGAAGAAGTTATGAGCGTTTGAAATTTTACCCAGAAACTGGCCACCTCACGGCCTAAAACCGGGTCAACCCGACTCAATACCCCTAGATCCAGATCCAAACCCAAGTTACTACCCAGCCCAACTGTCAAGCCCAAACCCATATTTGTGACCGACTAAACCCAGCCCAAAAAAAAACCTAACCTAGGCCCCTAACCCACTAAACCAAACCAGAACCAAGCCCAACCTAGAACCCAGATCCCAGTTAGCGTGTGGGTCTGCGCGTGGTCGCCTGTCTTGGCCGGCTCGTGGAGCACACGTGCCTCCATCGAAGGTACTGTGCTTCGCCTCTTCATTGCATGGGCGCCTGTCTTGGCCGGCTCGTGGAGCACACGTGCTTCCACCGAAGGTACTGTGCTTCGCCACTGTCCATGGTGACGTCAGCAACTTTTTCGGCGACCCAACTCATCGCGTGGCAACTCTGGGGGTACCCAAGGTCCCTTATATGTTTTTCAACGTTTTGAATCCATTTATGACATCCATTTTCAAAAATTCAATCGTCTTAGTATGGTTTTATTAATTGGTACCTTTATGTGCTTAGGTGCATTTGTTAATGGCGTTTCCGTCTTCCCTAGTTCGCATGGCTCTTCGACTATGAAGTATCTGTGAGTGGACCCCTTCCAAAATGCATGATTTAATTATTAGAAATGCATACATGAAAAGCATGATTTAATGGATACGTTTTATGAAACGTTAATGAGTAAATTGGATTTTACGCTTTATGAAATATCATGCTTTACTGGACTTATGTTTACTAAGATATTTATGAATATGATTTATGATATGATGTTTGAGCTACTGGGCTCCAATGATATATATTTTGGAAAGATTATGTTCGATGATTTTTTTATGTGCTTATTTAGTGGTTACTCATACTATATGCCTACAGGCGAATGATATCTATATATGGCTTTAGTCGGGTGATGTAGGGGCCTAAGGGCGAATGAAGATTTATATATGACTTCGATCGAGTGATGTAGGGGCCTACGGGCGAATGAAGATTTACATATGGCTTCGGTCGAGTGATGTAGGGGCCTACGGGCGAATGAAGGCCTTCGGGTGATTTTGATACCACTACTAAGCACACTATATATGATATATGTTTTATGAAGTTTTATGGCATGCTAGGGTTTTCAGAAAAGCCTATTACATAATGTATTATTGAGTTTTTATAAACTTTGGGGGTTAGTACGTTGAGGAATAACTTTTTCAGTATTACTTATATATCAACTTAGTCCACTCATGTTTTGTTTTGTGCCCCCTCATAACCTAGGAACGAGGCATACGATCCGAGCTACAAGGCATTCTCATACCAGTGACTTTGTGTCCTTCACTCCACTTGGACATTCTTGTAATAGCACTTTCTGTTACACATTCCGCTTGTATTCTGATCTAGTAGTATACTCTGAACATGTCATACATTATCACTTTTGTTTTGTTGACAGTTAAACTTATTATATTATTTTGTTGAGGTTGTATTTGAATATTACATTGCGTAGTTATGCACAAAATTTATATGCATGTTTCACATGTTCTTGGCATATGCATTCATTAAATGGCTTGCGTCACCCTCGGGTGTTGGCCATCCCGTTGTCCTTCGGACACAGGGATCGGGGCATGTCAATTATAATGTATTTTGGCACAAACATTTAAGTGCATCAATCTATTTTAATATAATTTCGTATAGAGATTTCAGTACACTTATGAATTTGTATTTTTTCTTATGTGTTATTTGGAAATATTTTGACAACTCCTTAAAAGTGAGTGATTTTTCGTTTGAGGGATTAGAAGAGGATTAGACATGAAGAAATCTCATCCCTTCTAATCTACTATTTTGGAGAGGATTAAAATGGATAAATTTTCTTCATAAGTAATTCATTTGGTATGTTCTAGATGGTCATAATTTTTCATTTCTCACCTCAATATACCTTCAAATTAAGGAGTTATTTCTCCAATCCATTGCTAAACAATCTTACAAACCAAACTAGCCCTAATGACCCTTTTGGTGGACCAGATCGGACAGGACATGAGCCATTAAATTGAATACGAGTCCATGCCGTTCTTTGATGGGGTCAAAATATAATTTGGACGTACAAGATGGGTATCCTAGATGGACAAGGATTTTCTGCTCCTTTTTTTCCATACACTTTCATCCTCCTCTGTTTGTGTGGTCACGGTTAAGCTATGTCTTTTTGTCTTATTATCTCTATAAAAAAATCAATATAAAATGTTGACGTGGCTTAACCGTGACTACACAAACAGAGGGAGGATGGAAGTGTATGGGAAAAAAGGAGTAGAAAATCCTTGTCCAACCTAGATACCAATATCGTAGATTCGGTGGGATATGAAACCTAAGTACGATGTGATATGAAACCCATCCTCACGAGCAAAGGACGCAAGGCTAGTGTTTCTTTAAGTAACCATTGTTAGTTAATTAGAAAGTTAGGAGAAACTAAATAGTTATTGGAGTCTCATTATTTACAACTTCACCATACTATGTATCATTGTATTTAAAACTGAATTATGATAGAATTTACTTCGTTTTAGCAGCATTCCCTCCAATTCTTGCAAAGCGGGCTTTCCACTAAGATCCAGAAATTCTAATAATTACAAATGTAAAAATTAATATTTAACAAACGATATTAACTATTAGAGAAAGGGGATAACAGAGGACCTTTGATAAGGACTAGTAAATACTTTTAACTACTTGAAATACAAATTTCGTTTGTCACATTTTTAGTTTAGAGATTGATGTTAAATAGCAAGATATTTGATTCAACAATTTTCATGTGAGTAGGAAAACTAATAAATCTGCATTTCCAGTAAATCTTTTGAGTATACGTAACCTAGTTATCTTCAAAGATATATATAACCAACTCACTACATTTTTCGTCAGCAACCAACCAAGAAATTATCGATGAAGAAAAACGCCCTCTTTCCACTAGACTACTTCCCTATAAATTGAAGTTTCTTCCAAAATAATCTTAAGGTTTAATTTATTTTGTTGTCAATATTGTTCTTTTGATTATATGGTTTTTTTTTTTTTTTCAATAAGAAGGGCATTAAATTGATTATTATTATTATTATTAAAGATGCAACATAAACTGCACCCACACTATTTTTCAAAAGCAAAAACGAAGTTAAGACTTGAAATTTGACAAAAAGAAAAAACATAGAAGTTTGAACAATAAAAATTACCAAGAGGGTTAGTGAGCAATCTAATATGCATGCAAGGTCACACAGCAACAAGGAGCAACTTTGTTAAATGTGTTTTGGTTAGTAGCTAAACATGCGATTAAAGTGAAATCGGCAAGGCCAATATGTCATATAATAGTATAATTTTTATCGCAAATTGTCTCAGAATAATATTATAGATTATTGACAACAATGGAAAACGAAAAACAAATTGTTCAGGATCGAGTTGTTTGGTATAAACTTTCCGGTGATAGCTAGCTAGTAGGTGCCTATCTACGATGCATTCCGATATTGCAGCAAATCCAGCTAACATATGTAAAATCTGATACAATTTCTTGAAGTGTTCGGATATTGATCAGTGCAAGTAATCCGGGTTTGGCGCGTAAAACGTGGGTTGATGCCGATATTTGATACCTTAGTTTGTACGTAAACCAGCCAGAGTTGGCAAATCTTGGATTTTTGCAGCATCTTTAGAAATTATTCGGGCCACAAGCTAATCCAAATCTGTTAGTGCACATGAAATGTGCATAGGATCCTACGTGAGCTTGGAAATTGTGGTTAAGGTATCGAATCATCATGTTTAAGTTAGCTGAAGCTTGTAATTTGTAAGGTGCAGTAAAAAAATGGAGGAGAAAAAATACACCAAGGTAGGTAGCGGTGAAGAGATTTCGAGTATAAATTAGTCCTTGCTAGTTATGATTGTGATCATCGTACAAAATGGCTAAGTATGGAGCTCTCTTGTGTTCTTATGCTTTCCCTATTCTTATACTCACTATCAGCTTCTTCAGCAAAGCCATTGGTCAAGAAGATAGAAAGGTTCACATTGTGTACATGGGGTCACTTCCGACTGTTGAATTGTACTCATCGTTGTCTCACCACCTCGGTATGCTAGAAAGAGTTGTCGAGGGAAGTTCTGCTGCAAATGTCTTGGTCAGAAGTTACGGAAGGAGTTTCAATGGATTTGCTGCCAAGCTCACCGAGCGCGAAAGAGAAAAGCTTGCTAACATGAAGGAAGTGGTCTCTGTGTTTCCAAGCAGAACTTACCAACTTCAAACAACAAGGTCTTGGGACTTTATGGGTTTACCAGAGAACGTCACTCTAAATACCACCAGTGGCGGTGAGAGTGATATTGTTGTCGGCGTGATTGACACCGGAATTTGGCCTGAATCCAATAGCTTTAGAGATGATGGGTTTGGTCCTCCTCCCAAGAGTTGGAAAGGTGCTTGTGAAGGTGGCCAAAATTTTAATTGCAACAACAAGATCATTGGAGCTCGATATTACACATTAGAGGAGTCTGCAAGGGATGTAATAGGTCATGGAAGCCACACTGCCTCAACGGCAGCAGGTCGTGCCGTGAAGAATGTGAGCTTTTATGGACTAGGCAATGGTACTGCAAGAGGAGGAGCTCCTGGTGCGAGAATCGCGGCGTATAAAGTCTGCACTGATCAAGGATGCACTTCGGAGAATATCTTGGCTGCTTTCGATGATTGTACTGCTGATGAAGTCAGCATTATTTCAGTTTCACTTGGAAGTCCTTACGCGCCTCCTATGGAAGATGATCCTATTGCCATTGGTGCCTTTCATGCAATGAAGAAAGGGATAATGACCATACAATCTGCTGGCAACAGTGGCCCTGGAGAGGGTACTGTATCAAGTACACCACCATGGATTTTTACGGTTGCAGCATGTAGCATCGATCGTAAATTCATTGCCAAGGTTTTTCTTGGAAATGGACGTACATTGGATGGGCTAGCCGTGAATGCTTTTGAATCAAATGGAACAAGTGCACCTTTGATATATGGAAGAGAGGCTTCGAGTCACTGCTCAGAATACCCTGCACAGGATTGTGCAGAAGGCTGCCTAGACCCTGACAGAGTCAAGGGAAAATATGTGATGTGTGATAACTTTGGAGGACTAATTGAGGCTGATCGAGCTGGTGCAAGAGGTGCGGTTTTAAAGAATGCAAGAGATGATGTTCCTTTTGTTCTCCCACGATCTATGAGCGGTGTAAACAACAGTGATTATAATCTGGCCAAATCCTACCAGAACTCCACCACAAATCCTCGAGCAAATATAGTAAAAAGTGAAGTCATAAAAGATCCTACCGCACCAAGTGTCGCTTCCTTCTCTTCGCGTGGTCCTAATCCAATTTTACCAGAAATTTTGAAGCCGGATATTTGTGCCCCAGGAATAGCTATTTTGGCTGCATATTCTCCAAATGCTTCTGCCTCAGCCAGCCCTTATGACCAGAGGCGCGTAAAGTACAATGTACTATCTGGAACCTCCATGTCTTGCCCCCATGCTGCTGGTGCTGCTGCATACGTTAAAGAATTCCACCCGGATTGGTCTCCAGCAGCCATCAAGTCAGCTCTTATGACTACAGCTTGGCCCATGAATGATACAAGCACTTCCCCAGGCGAATTTGGTTATGGAACTGGACATCTCAATCCTGTAAGAGCTAAGCAGCCGGGACTTGTGTACGATGCTTCTAAAGAAGATTACATTAAGTTGCTTTGCATGTTTTATAAGGATGAGACTCGAGTTAGACTCATCTCGGGAGATAACAGCACGTGCCCTACTGGCTCCGACAAAGGAACACCAAAGGATCACAATTACCCTTCAATGCTTGCTAATGTAACATCAAGGGCATCATTTAAGGTTGAATTTCCTAGAAGAGTTACGAATGTTGGCCATGCAAACTCCACATACAAGGCAAGTATCTCCAGGAATTCTGAAAATGCCGACATCAAAGTGGTGCCTGAAGTCCTTTACTTCAAATCCTTGAACGAGGTGAAAAGTTTCGTTGTGACCGTTGCTGGACCAGGCCTGTCCGTGGCTGGAATTGTGACAGCGTCACTGACTTGGTCTGATGGAAGTCACCACGTTACAAGTCCAATTATTGTACGGGGAGTGTAGCGCAATCTTAGCCTTAACTGCACTGTTTGTAGTAATAATGTTCGGGACTTGATTGTTGCATTGCATAGCAAGCAAACTTTCTGATTGTATGCGAAACATTCTTCATACTAGTCAAGTTCATAAAATAAGGCCAAACAATGAGGAATTTACGAGAGAGAATCAATTATATTTCAATTAACATATGAAATTTGTATGTAGAATTTCTGTTTCCCAAGTGTAGTTAAGCGGCCAGTTATTAGGTGTTTCTGAAGGGAAGTATGCTCATGAATCATGATCTCTACTGCAAAATTATTGAACTCGAGAGCAAGTTTCAAATCTTGATCTTACTTCCGTTTGCGATATAATCTTGATCTTCGATTATATTGCAGTCCACATATTTCTTATGTAACCATACAAATTTATTCAATTGTATGAATTTTAACAAGGAAGATCTATGAAGATGACTTAAAAAATGAACATACCTAAAAGAGTAGTTAGCGTCATATTAAGTTACCAATTAGTTAGCGCTTGAGCGCTGTTGTATATTAGACATGAGTTTTAGTTGAGAGAGAGACACCCTTGTTGGTGATAAACATTGCAATGTTCACAATAATAATCTTTTTGAAAGTTGTGGTATATTATTGATGACCTAAAATGAACCGGTGGGATCATGAAATTACTTTGTGAAACGGGTCTATACAAGTGATTAGTGTCATATTAAGTTACTAACTGTTTAGTGTTTACTGCTTAAGCTCTTGTGTGTGTGGGAATGACTTAATTTTGAATATAAAGAAAAATATCAGCGTATAACATATACAATTGATCTTGATAGTTAATGGAAATCCATACAGCTGCAATTCAGATGGAATTGACCTTCTTCTTGGATTTAGTTGCCAAATATAAAATGTACACAATCTGAATTGTATTCAACATTTGGATTTTGTTCATCCTGCATGTAGAAAGAAATAAATTTCCATGTCCATAAAAACTGTGGTCAAGGGATAAAATCGATTCCTAAAGGAAACAAAATCTGGATGTTAGTGCAATCGAGACTTTCGTTGTGATTCATCAAACCATAAATTACACGTCACTGGTTACAATTATCGTCATCGAAACAAAAAAAACAATGGCAAAGCATGGATCTCTCCTGTATGCTTTCTCCATTATTCTCATGCTCGCTGTGAGCTTACCGTCTGAAGCCGCTGATCAGGAAGATAGAAAGACATATATTGTCTACTTGGGATCACTTCCTAAGGATCAGTTGTTCTCGCCATTGTCTCACCACATTGGTATTCTCGAAAGCATTACAGAGAGCAGCTCTCCGTCGAATCTCTTGGTCAGAAGCTACAAAAAGAGTTTCAACGGATTTGCTGCCAAGCTCACTGACCGAGAAAGAGAAAGGCTTGCTAACATGGAGGGAGTCGTCTCTGTGTTTCTGAGCACAACTTACCAACTCCAAACAACACGGTCTTGGGATTTCTTGGGTTTCAGTGAGAAGGTCAAACGAAACCCTACTGTCGAGAGCAATGTTATTGTTGGTGTCATCGACAGTGGGATTTGGCCTGAATCAAATAGCTTTAGTGATGAAGGTTTTGGGCCAGCTCCCAAAAAGTGGAAAGGAGTTTGCAAAGGTGGCTTCAATTTCACTTGCAACAACAAGCTCATTGGAGCACGGTATTACATTGATTCCACCGCTAGAGATGAAGTAGGACATGGAACTCATACTGCCTCAACAGCAGCAGGGAATCCCGTAGAGCCTGTGAGTTTTTATGGACTAGCTCAAGGCATTGCAAGAGGAGGAGTTCCCTCTGCGAGGATTGCTGCATATAAAGTTTGCGGTTCAGAAGGGTGCAGTGTAGATGGGATCTTGGCTGCTTTTGATGACGCCATTGCCGATGGAGTTGACATCATTACAATTTCAATTGCAAGTGAAACTGCTCCCCCGTTCCATGAGGATCCTATAGCAATCGGTGCTTTTCATGCAATGGAGAAAGGGATACTTACCTCGAATTCTGCAGGCAATTATGGCCCTGCAGAGCGTACTGTATCAAGTGTAGCACCATGGATTCTTTCAGTTGCAGCAAGTAGCACAGATCGTCGAATCATTGACAAGGTTGTTCTTGGAAATGGAAGGACACTCGTCGGTAGTTCAGTGAACACTTTGGAATTAAATGGAATGAGTTATCCGTTGATAGAAGGAAAGGATGCGTTAAGATCAAGTGGATGCGTGGACTGTGAAGATGGTTGCCTAGACCCTGATTTAGTTAAGGGAAACATTGTGGTATGTCGCCAGGCAAATGGCAGTATCGAGGCTCATCATGCCGGTGCAATAGGTGCAATTACAAGCACTACCCGATCTGATGTATCATTCGTTGTCCCACTACCTGCCACAAGTTTTAGTAGCAAAGATTATGATGTGGTGCATTCCTACCTCAACTCCACAGCTAAACCTGTAGGGAACATACTAAAAAGTGAAGTCATAAAAGACCTTGCTGCACCCACTGTCGCTTCCTTCTCTTCGCGGGGGCCTAATAATATTTTACCTGAAATTATCAAGCCAGACATAACTGCCCCGGGGGTTGAAATTTTGGCTGCATTTTCACCTGTTGCTTCTCTGACAGTTAGCTCTGAAGACCTAAAAAGGTCGTACCCAGTGCACAAGGCTCCCGCTATACGCAGGGTCTGGGAGAGGTGAATGTCGGCTAGCCTTACCCCCATTAGCTCTGAAGACCTGAGGCATGTAAAATACTGTATACAATCTGGAACCTCCATGTCCTGCCCGCACGTAGCTGGTGTTGCTGCGTATATCAAGACATTCCACCCCAACTGGTCTCCAGCTGCCATCAAATCATCTATCATGACCACGGCTGGGCCTGTGAATAACACCAGCAATTCCACCGGTGAATTTTTGTATGGTTCTGGACATATCAATCCTCTAAAAGCTGTAGATCCGGGGCTTGTGTACGAAACTTCTAAGGATGATTATATTAAGTTGCTCTGCTCGATCTTGGATGAGGCGAGTGTTCGACTTATATCAGGTGATGACCACCCTTGCTCTGCAAAGACCGGGAAAAAATCTCCTAAGGATCTCAACTACCCTTCAATGGCAGGTACTGTTGCACCAGGGACTTCTTCGTTTTCGCTTAAGTTTCGTAGGACAGTTAAAAATGTTGGCCTTGCAAACTCGACATACAAGGCAAATATCATCTCAAAGTCTGGAGTTGACATCCAGGTGGTGCCTCAAGTTCTTTCCTTCAAGTCCTTGAACGAGGAGAAGGCATTCGACGTGACAGTTTCCGGAAGAGGTATGCCATATGGATCACATGTATCTGCGTCGCTGGTGTGGACGGATGGTACTTACAGTGTTCGAAGTCCAGTTCTTGTATTCAGCCTCTAAGCTTCGTCACAAGTGATCGCTAATGTGGATTCACTGCTCCAAACAAAACATATTTTCTGATTGTATTTCATCCATTTTCATCTACTTAAGTTGAAATGAACATGTTTTTGTTCTAGGCATATTTTAGGAAAAGAGGGGAAGAGGGCCGGCGGCAAAGAGAGGAAAATAGAGAGTTTGAGAATTATGTGGTATGATTTCTCACTCCTTTGTGCCTTTACTTATGGTGATAAGGAAGAGAGGATTACATAATCACACAACTAATGGAATTGGAATTACAACACTCCCCCCTTGAATGTGTCACCCCCCTTGAATGTGTAAATACTCAAATAGATGACACATCAAGTCTTTAGTGAATGCAGAAATAATTAATTAACTAATAATAAAATTAAGCACAAATTATTGGCACAATCCGCAACAACAGCGCCATTTTTTTGGTAGCAAGAATATAATCTCTTCAGTTTTAACGAATTTGTATCTACAAAACAATTAACATCTTTGATCAAAGACCTACACAGGCCCACAAGGTGAGGAGTTTGATTAATGACTCTCCTAAGAATAACTCTAAAAAGAGTGAGTGTTAAGGGTTTGTATGCGTAGCAAAAGCTTACCAAAGTTTGGTAGAGATGAGGTATTTATAGGGAGGTGATCAGCCTAGGTGGAGGGTTTTGCCCTACACGTGGTGGTTTCCCATTATCTTAGGTTGTGTCGTCCGTGGGATCGATAAGGAAATAATATTCGTAAGATATTAATTAGGAGATAATATCTTGGGATGATGATAGAAGCATCCTTAATTGGTTGCAATGAGGATTTCTTACTTGTTTGAGTCGATCTTCAATTGAGAATGTATTAAAAATAGGATTCGGTGATTAATCCTATTAAGCACTGTACCTTGAAAACCTGTTTGTAATATGTAATTTGACCTTCTGAATTGCTGAGATTTCTCTACTCTAACTCGACGGTTGTTCGAAACGAAACTAATGTCTTGGCCAAGGTAGTATGCTCACCCTTTTTTTCACTTGTTATCACATTTTCGACAAGGCTCTTGAGTTCTGGGCACCAAAATTTCATGTAGAACCTTGTATCTAAGAAAGTCTATCGACGAGTACGAGAAGAAATGGAAAAAATGCACTACATTCGCTTATGCTTCCATCCAAAGTTCTTAAGAGAAGATTACCAAATATGAAATACCAGAGCAATGTAAATGTTGATGGATGAACTCCCAAATTTCCCAAACTGGACACTGTTTTAAGTTTCATACAGAAAAAATGAAAAATAAAATCGAATCCATCTGCATACCACGAAGTTCAAATCCTAAATTTTTTTATCTACAGATTAAAAAGAAAAAAACTACAGTAATATACAACCGAGACTCGCTTGACAGAGCTATTGATATAATGACTTCTACGGTATAACATACACACAATCTATCATGGTGAGTTGCAAACCTCGGCATCATAAAGGTCTCGTAAGTTTCATTTCCTTAATGCCGGCTATTGATTAAGAGGCACACATTCAAGCTCAATCTCCAGTATACCCCTCTCAACATTCTGCAGCCTGAGAGAGATCTGCTGTCTTACTCTCCCGTCTACGAGGTTGATGACACCATCTTTTACGAGTGTGTTTTCTTTGCTGGCTACCCACTTTCCAAGCTGCATTGGTTCATTGATCGTGGATTTCTCATAAGCTATAGCAGCACTCACCAGAGGTTGAATATCAATCTCGGCTTCACCCATATAATCATCAGCTTTGAACGTATCTTTGTCATACACCAGCTGAATGTAACAATAGAAACATTACTAGAAAATTTTATCCAATACTGAGATCCAAAGCACATAAACATCTTCATCGATAGTAAGGGAATGCTAGTATACGATTCTATAGATTATGTGTATATAACAATAATAAATCAAGTCAAAAACAAAAGCAGAGAATCTTATCAGTTTCTTATGGTAGGCTATGACTTGTATACGCTTTCCTGTAACTGTGGAGGAAATTCCGTGCACTGGGGAATTCAATTTTACAACTGTCCCAAACTAAAGGGGAAAAAAAGTTTCTGAAATTTATTGAACGCTTCCTTTGACATTAGTGCTCAAACAATTAATTTATGTACAAACGTTTTAGGAGAAAATCATTTTTAGTTTATCAACTGCAACACCAGAAAATGTTGCATTAAATAGCAATCTCAACACGATACACATGAAATTTGAATCTATAATGTAAAAAATAATGCATTGGGTGGACTCGATGTCATAGTATTTTCATAGGAACCAAGTAAAACTTACCACTTTTAGAGGAGGTATGTGATCAGGAATTGACAGCATCAGGCTCTCATTCCATACGGGATTAAGATTGTTCTTTATGACACGCGTCTTCACTGACTGCAACAAATATTTAGGGAAAACTGCATTTTAAGTTTATTGACAAGGTTGAATTCATGTCAAAACAACAGCTTAAGTAGAAGAAACTTACTTGGTGACCCAATGCAAGGATGACGTAAGGGTCACTTGTCATCATATCCCGTACAACTAGGTTGGTTCCTTTAACCACATTCACCTTGATTAATCCAACAAATTCGATCATACCTGCCTATAATGTACACTTGAAGCAGTAAGATTATATGCATATCAACCAAAATTTCAAACTTATACAAAAAACTTTGATTTCTCCTTTGTGATTGTCATGGATTAAAACTATGGCACAACTATTTCTGGTTCACATTTAAAAATAAAAATCCTTTTTTCCAAATAAAGAAAATAGACATGGTACTATATAACCTCACTCCAAAGGGAGCAAGGGCATCAAAACGACTGAGAAATAACAAGATAAAACAACACAGTAATCAAACAAAAAGGCCATTACCATTGGCATTGAGTAGCCCTTCTTTGCGGTCTTATGTTCAGAGTCTTTTCTTCCCCAGCTGTTACGAAATGCCTGCCCAATACGGTTTTTCGTTGGTTGTTTCTCATACTGTTTCTTATCTTGGGTAGAACTAATAGTTGAATTGCTAGGAGGTGATTTCTTATTAGGTGGAAAAGGACATGACAACGGTTCATTGGGGTTCAAGAAGTCTAGCAGCTCATATTTTCTCCTGCATATTCAAGTAAATCTCAGATTTAGAATAGTATAGGTTTCAAAACAAAGTAATTGAAAAGATTTTACTTGAATTACCTTATAAAATAAAAGCGCTCCTCTATAGAAGAATCTGGTTTTGGTTTACAGAAATTTTCCGGCAAGCAAGCCTCATACTTCTTGTTTACAGTAGTATTTCCTCCCATACTTGCCAAGATATCAACTTCATCGTCTGACCATTCATCTAGCTTCACTGATACAACCTATCATATTTCCAGATCAGATTAGAATCTCCAAATTCCAATACTCTATAGTCAAAGTTTCGCATCATACATTCTTTCTGGTAAATCCAGAACAAGGTACAATAATCCATACCTTCGAAATATGCACTCCAAGGCTTCTATGTACACCAGAACACTTTATACAAATAAATACTCCGAAGCTTAAAGATCTGATATTGAACCAATCAGCAGTCAAAATACAACGTAAGCAACCAAAACAGTCATAGCTTACATACATCTAGGAAGAGGTAGTCAAAGTGAAAAACTCAAAACATGAGGTTGTTTCGTTTACTAAATACCAATATCATCAAGAAAGTTGGGGTTCCACCATAAAACTAATTGACAATATGGCGAGATGCCCAATTACTTATAAGCACATGCAAAGTCCCTTTCTTTCCTGATGTGGGATTCATACTCTCAACAGTATCATCCAACTCCTAAGTTGTGAATATCTCTCACCTCAAATTATTGCGCAAAAGATATCAATATTACCAACAATTCTAAAATCAATCGTCAAATTCACAACTACTCATTAAGCATCATTGTGAAAACATGTGTCATTACTCATCACAAATTTTCCTTCAATCCACGTGCAGGACCCACTCTCAAACAGTGAACATGCATGAAATTTGCACTGTCCTCATTGGGATATATACTTAACTCAAAATTGAGCTCAATAGGATGAAAAGAAGATTGTACAGATAATATACTAATTAATGGTGGACAGGAAAAAGACCATGTAAGATACTTTTTTATTGAATACCAGTTAAGACACTTGAACACCTTCTATTAGTTCGAAGTAACTTCATAAAATGTTTTCTTCAGTTTTTATTAAAATTAAAACAGGATAGATGGTAAAACATTCTCTTCATGCAAATATGATACTCACACCCATTTTGGATCTAGAGCTCCACAATCTGCACAGGACCTGTTGGCAGATTGGCGCAACAAAATCTCCAGCCTTTCTTGTGGACCTGTTCAATGAACTATAACGGTTACAAAAGATACGATGTGCTCTTATTACAATGTCACAGGGAGACCCACAATAAAGAAAGGAAAATCATCCCAAAAAAACAAAAACAAAAAAAAAAACAAATCGGTACATCAGATAGAAGAAAGCTTGGTGATGCAGAACTTATTTTTCAGGATTTAATTCTACTGGTACATGATTTTTAGGTATTTATAACCACACGTTGGGTTCTCAAATGCTGGACGTATCTCCCTCATTACCACTAACACTTTTTACATTATAAACCTCCTATTTGAATTTCATATTCACAGAGTCTTTTGCCTGATCTCCATGAAGGTAAACTAGAGGCATCAAATAACAGGATAGAAAATGGAGGTATTGGATATCCCCGAGCTATCTATATACTATATCTGATCCACTGGCAATTTGAAATGTTTCTTGGAGCAATCATGTTGTATGTTAAAAGTCAATATCATAACTTTGAGTATCATCTATTCAAATGGCTTACTGCAATTTTGAGTGAATAGTGACACGCCACTAACAGTTAACTACGCTAACATGTCATGAAAATGAAAATCTTTGCAAGTCAGAGCACACACGCATTCTTAAACATGCATTTGATGTAAAGGATAAAGAGTACCAGATAATGACCGTTGGTCACTAGGGCATCTCCAAGCCGGTGCGTCTGAACATAAGAGATCATACAGGCAAGAACCTGATCCTACAAATGAAACATGTTCATTTATTGATGAAACCCAGTATAAATTCATCTGTGCAACACCGTGCAATCAGTTCATCAACTTTTGTACTCTTGAAAAGTATGTTTAACATCAAGAAGGTACAACATCACCAAATGTTGTCATTAAACAATTTTAAACCACGTAAAAGCATCAAAATTCTGAGGAATTAATGTAGATTTTTACTTGAAAGTTCCAAAATAAGATATGACATGACCAAAACCATTTGTTTCATTGCAAAACACAAATTTATTACTTTTCTTTAGCAATTAATTATCCTGCCCTCACAAGGTAATATATCATATCCTTTCCAAACGCTGTAAATTTTTATGAAGGTCATAAATGCAGCTGCAGGATAAATCTTCTCAACTATTAAAAACCATTCCTAAAATAAAATTTATACCTGAAACTTTGTTGGGAACAGAATTATCTTGCTGGGTAGACATCTCCATCCTCCAATGATTCAGACCCAAATCAAAAAAAGTGCTACTTTCTGAGGATACCCATTTAATCAATCAGCAATTCCTCTGCATCCAATTCCACATTAATTAAATATATACCCATTTAATGGAAAGGGGAAATCAAAACAGATATGAAACAAAGGATTTAAAAGGGTTCTTACAGATTGAAATATAGGTTATCAAAAGAAAAGGTGGAATGGGTTTTTATCTGAAACAAAAAGGGGTTCTTCTGAATTTCTTCCCTGCACCAAACACAACCAAGTTAGGCAAATTGGTAGACCATACATACATTTTTCAAAAACAATCCACCAAGCAAAAAACTACCCAGATGGGTCCTCACAGATTGAGAGAAATTCATGACATCAAACAGATTGAAGCTCAAAACTTTGGGTTATTTGGATTGAAATACAAAGGGGAAAAGGGAAGAAATTGGTGGGTGGGCCAAGAATGTGAATAATCTTATCTTTTGTGATAGGATTTTGTGATGGAAATGATGAGAACAATGTGCAATGTGGGTTTTGTCAAAATATTTTCATTCCTTCAATTCTCTCTCTTTCTTTAATTTTGTATATAATAATTGCATTTGAAAGATACAGTTTTCTGTTTTTTTTTTCTTGGTAAACAGAGTCTGGCATGGAAAACTAATAAAACAAATAAAACAGAGTTTGGCGTATCTTCCAGGAAAAAGAAATATAAAAAATGAGCTTCGGGAATGAAGCATTTTGTGGTAGTTGGGTGATTGATTTATCATCCATTCGTGAGGCAAACATGTTTACACGTTTAGTCCTACCATAAAGATCCAACAAAATATAAATAAATAAACAAATAAATAAATAGTCATACCCAATCATTACTTGTGGCTCAACAGTGAAATGATGAATTTCATATCTGTATTTCACATGGCATATTTTAGGTTCGATTTCTGGCACGTGTGAATTACATGATAGCCTTCAAGAGAGGCTGAAATATCTCTACAAATCTTCCCACTCCAAGAAAGGTAAATTACAGTAACGAAACCACTAATTGGCCTTTTTTTACAAAAATAAAAAATAAATAGTCCCACCACATCAACACAAAAATTAAGTGAAACAACACGTTTATATTAGAGACCGAAATATATTGTAACATTTTACTTATTTTTGTAAAAACGATATTGGGTAAGGAGAAAATCGAACTCCGAACAAAAGAATCGAATGCCAGGATAAATGCTACTAATGCTATTAATAAGGAAATTAAGCTTGAAATTTAAAGTATAATACTTGACCATTCAAATGACGATGAGTATGAGTTTTTACTCAAAATTTCGTTGCTAATTCATGAATTTCCGTGTTTTTTATTAGAACCGTTTATATTATAATTTATTATATAAATATAGCCTTTGTAAAAAATAATTAAAACTAGGAAGTTTTAACGAAATATTTCCGGTACTGTTCACTTTTAATGAAAAATGACATTTTTATCTATCCTGGTAGTATTCACTTACTGTTGTGAACATTCCTAGTTTAAGTATGATTGTGTAAATCCTAGATTAGATTTGATTCTAGCTATCATTTCCTATTACAACTTGTATTACTTGGAGAAGAAGGAATATCTTCTCTCCCTTTACTACTATAAATAAAGGCACAATGTAGGAGGGATAACAACACACACATTCCCCTACAATTCTACAAACACACATCTCTCTTCCCTCTCTCCTGTGCCGCCGGCCCCTTTCCCTTTGTTAGATAAAAATAGACCACAACACATTATCAGCACGCTCCTACCGCTGCGATTAGGAATCTGACGTTGGAGAATTTTTTTTCTGCATTAAACCAGTTCATCCATATCATCACGCAATCAGGTTCTTTCAAAACAACGGCTTTTAACTCGATATTTTGCAAGCCCTGATAGCATGAACATTCACCATGATGCATGACTCAACTTTACGTTAAACGTATTTTAGATTCTACATAAATTGTGTATGCCTCATAACCAAAATTGCTGCAATTATGTGAATTTGATATTTGCCATGAATTGAATCTTACATATGTATATGCATTGAAACTATTATTTGCATATGCATCAAAGTAAATTTGTGATTCATTGAATTATATATGCATCTAATTGAATTAATGGAAAAAAAAAGAGAAATTTTTTGCGATTGGGACCTAGGGTTCTTTCGAACCCGTGACCATCCTGCAGATGGGGTCTCCATGCCAAACTGAGAGCCTGCACCTCTCCTTTTCTCCAGAAAACCCACGAAGCAGAAGCTCCAAAACCCCAAACCCAGAAATCTAACACCTTTCATGGTGTCCCCGACCATGGCATGGCCTGCAGCCACAACCCTAAACCTTTGGTTCATATTCCCGACGACCTGAAGTCGTCCCATGTTGGCAATTGAACCAAGATTCACCGGAATCTCGTCGGAATTTTCTCGAAAATTCGATTTCAATTTTTAGGGTTTATAGTTGTTGAAACGTTGAGATTCTTTTATCTCCGTGGTTGTCCATGACAACCATGACTCACTTCGAGCCCCAACAACCCTGACACAACCACCTGCAGTGGCGTTGTCGATCAAAACCGATGTTCTTCCCCGGTGATACACACCCAGCACACACTGGGGTGTTTTTGGTTCAGACCCGAGCCCATTAGGGCTTAGATGGACACGGTTACAAACACCAGCCCTCCGGGCTTTGGTGTTCTACTTGAAGCCTTGCCATCTGGGCTCCTAGATTGCAGCCCATCCATTTGACCCATTTTCTTCTCGGCCTGATGAAAAAAAAAAGAAAAAAAAATTTGTTTTTTCTGGACTTGCCTGTAGGGGCCCAGCCCGAAAAAAAAAAGGCATTTTTTTTTTATTTTTCTTGGACCTACCTGAAGCAGCCCGTGTGTGAAAAAAAAAACACAAAGAAATTTTTTTTTGCTGCCTACAGCAACCCATTTCTTTTGCCATGTCTCCCCGTGAGCCTGCAGCTCACCAATGAGCCACCCGTGGGCTTTGCCCATACTTTAGGCCCCCGAAATTTTATTATTTAATATCTTTAAATAATTTGGGTTTTTATATTTTTTCACCCACATTGTTAATTTGGCCCAAAGTCCAAATAATTAATTCAATTATAATTATACACCTATAAGTTATATTTCTTGCATATACTTGTTGCATCTTTGTTTGCATATATATTGCGTTTGCCTACAGGAATATATGAACCTGAAGTTCATAATTACTTTGAAACCTGAAGTTTCTTATAAACATGCCTTGTTTGAAAACCCGAAGTTTTCACTTAAACATATCACCCATGAAAACCCGAAGTTTTTCATGCAAAATTATACCAATACATGTCTATTAGAACCTGTATGTTCTACTCCTATGTGAATGGATTGATTTTTCTCCATTACACTAACCACATCTTGTCCATCTATTTTGTGATAGGAACATGTCGAATTTGAACAAACTCGACTTCACCACTTTGGAGGTCTCTGGAAGGAACTATCTCAAGTGGGTTCAAGATGTGAAGCTCCACCTCACTGCAAAGAACTTGCGTCCTGCTATTGAAGAAGCAACAGATGAACCTGTTGGCGAAGCTGAAAAAGCCACTGTTATGATCTTCATCCGAAGACATATCCATGACGCTCTGCAAACTGAGTACCTTGCTGAGGAGGATCCACGTGCATTATGGGTCGCTTTGGCTGATCGTTTCGATCACCAAAATGACATATTCTTGCCTGAAGCAAGACACGACTGGCAGAACTTGCGCTTCCAAGACTTTAAGTTTGTGAATGAATATAATTCTGAAGTTTGTCGAATCTGATCACTTCTCAAGTTTTGCAATGAAACTTTGACTGAAGAGGATCTCCTGGAGAATACCTACTCGACCTTCTCTGCTTCTAATATTGTCCTGCAACAACAATATAGAGCTCAGAAGTTCACCAAGTTCTCGGATTTGATCTCTGTTTTACTTCTTGCTGAAAAGCAGAACCAGCTGTTGATGAAAAATCATCAAGCTCGACCTACTGGGGCTACTGTTGTGCCTGAAGCACATTATAGCACTAATCAGCACCCAACACGCCACAAGAGGCGTGGTAGGGGCAGCCAGAAGCCATCCCACAAAGGTCAACAGAGCCAAGGCCCATCCAAAGGATGAAACAAAGCCCAGAAGCGCCCAAACCTCGCTCCTAAGGCCTCGAACTTCAAGAATAAGGGCAAAGCACCCACAACCATGGATGACGATATGTGCTATCGCTGTGATTCAAAGGACTATTGGTCCCGTGTTTGCCGAGCTCCCAAGAAGGTTGTAGATGAATATCATTCTCGTCGTAAGAAGTTTGAATCAAACTTCATACAAGTGGACGAACCGGAAACTACAAAAATGGAGGTTTCTGACTTTCAGGAGGATACCACTCATATGGAAGATTAGAATCTTAGACATAGACTTATTTCTTAGTTAAAATAAGACCATTAGGGCCGAATTCCACCTAGTGGCTGAACCCCCATTGTTTTTTTTGGTTGATTTTGAACAATTTTCCTTTATGTTTTGGATTATTCGTTGGCGATTTGTTTTGGATATTAAGTTTTAATCCTTGAATAAATGAAATTATTTTGAATTGATATTTGTTTTTATAAACTTTTATGCATGTGACCGATTCAAATTAATTTTTCATTCTAGGTATGACTAGTGGGAAAGTTAGTTGTCTGGCAGATGGTGCAACCACGCACACTGTTTTACGTGAACGCATCTATTTCACTAAATTCATACCTAAGAATGCACCTCTGACAACCCTCTCAGGCCCATCCAACCTGATAGAAGGATCCGGTAAGGCATGTATAATGTTGTCAAATGGTACAATCTTGACCATTGCTAAGGCACTCTATTCTCCACGTTCCGGAAGAACGTTACTCAGTTTCAAGGACATTAGAGATAACAATTACCACGCTAAAACCCATGTAGAAAACGGAGTTGAATTTCTGTGCATAACTTCATACGAATATGGCCAGAAGCGTATTCTCGAGAAGATGAAGCGTATCCCAAGTGGTCTGTATACTACGACCATACACCCCATAGAATGCCACTATGTGGCCGGCCCTACCACAGGTGCCGCGCACGAAATTACACTTTGGCATGATCGTTTGGGACATTCTGAACGAATAGTGATGCGCCGTATCCTCAAATCTTCACACGGGCATCCACTAACCCGAAGCTTAGGTTCGATCCATGAAATCACATGTCAAACATGTTTTATGGGAAAGCTTATTACTAAGCCTTCTTATGACAAGATTCGTTCGAATCCTCCAATTTTTCTACAACGGATTCAATGGGACATTTAGGGTGCGTTTGGTACGTGGGACGGGACGGGACGGAACGGGACGAGGCGTTCCGTTCCGTCCCGCGTTTGGTGCGCCAAAAATGGGTGGAACGGGCTGTTCCACGAGACAGATTTTGCGTCCCACCTCCCCCCTGGAACGGGTTTGTTCCACGTCTGTGGAACACAATGTTTTACTATTTTAAGACAAATATACCCCATGTCTTTTTCAAAAATTACACCTTCGTTCCGTCCCGTCCCGTCCCGTCCCGTACCGTCTCGTCCCGTCCCGTCCCGTTCTGTCCCGTCTGCGTACCAAACGCACCCTTATAGACCGATTCAACCTCCCTGCGGACCATTTAGATATTTTATGGTTTTGATTGACGCTTCCACACGTTGGTCACACGTGT